CCCTTGTCGACTGCTGCGAGGTGGCTCAGTGGCTCAGTGCCACGCCATCCAGGCGTGATGACGCCTTATACCTCCAAGGGCAAAGCCTGCTCGGAGCTCCCTGCTATCCCTGCACTTGGCCACTCATTCCTGCCTCCTCAGTCGCTCCAGAGCAACTACTTCTGGGGCTATGTTATACTGGTTTGGAGAAATGACTCTGGCTTAACAACACAAGCATCAACAGCAGTTTTGTAAGGCTTTTTTCTGTTTCACCCACTCACAAATGGCCAGGAACTCGGGACAGGAGAAGGAAGCTCCTGAATCAGCTTGGTAATCAGCTGCATGTTGTGACATACACGTCTCTGAACAATGGTAACGAGGAGAATTGTGAACTGTGGGTTTGCATGTTATCCTGTGCCCCAGCCTAGCAAGTTCACCAACTGCTGTGTTTACGGCCATGTACAGGTCTTTGCTGGGGCACAGCCTAACAGAACCGAGCGTGGCTGTGCAGTCTTCCTCTCCCCTGGTGCCTTTGCTTAGGCCATGTAGCCCATTCCCTCACCTTAAGGCAGGATCAACTAAATGCCTAAGAGGGCCACGAAGATGATCCGAGGGCTGGAGCACCTCTGCTATGAAGACAGGCTGAGAGAGTTGGGGCTGTTCAGCCTGGAGAAAAGAAGGCTCCGGGGTGATCTTCTAGCAGCCTTCCAGTACTTAAAGGGGGCCTACGGGAAAGCTGGATAGGGACTTTTTCCAAGGGTGTGTAGTGATAGGACAAGGGGTGATGGCTTTAAACTGATAGAAAGCAGATTTAGATTAGATATAAGGAAGAAATTTTTCACTCAGAGTGGTGAGGCACTGGACCAGGTTGCCCAGAGAAGCTGTGGCTGCCCCATCCCTGGAAGTGTTCAAGGCCAGGTTGGATGGGGCTTTGAGCAACCTGGTGTAGTGGAGGGTGTCCCTGCCCATGGCAGGGGGGCTGGAACTGGATGATCTTTGAGGTGCCTTCCAACCCGAACCATTCTATGAGTCGATGACATTCCTGATAAACTTGTTCTTAAAACTTCTCTCAAGCAAGACTCCTCTGATGCAATTTAAACGCCTTTCTCCCTGCCCTCTCTATCACAAAACACAGAGTTTATTCCCTTTCTTCTGAAGCAGCACATTTCAAAATGGTATGGTATCCTCAGTCTTCTCTGTGCAAATCTGAGAAATCTTTTCCTGCAGGAACTGTTCCTGCAGGTTCTTGTTCTCTGGGCTCTCTCAGACTGATCAACACTTTCTTAAGTGCAGATTTCCTTTGAAAAACAATGCTCTGATGAATTCTTGCAACAGATCTTTGAGTCTTTCAGAAAAGGAATTGTAGCATTACTCTATTTTGATCCTAAGTACTTTAGAAATGTCACCATACTTGGTGTGGTGAAAACATGAAGGGAGCTCTAGGTATCTACATGATATACCCTGCACCCACATATTTCTCAGTCCAGTCACCAAAGTCCCTCTTTGGCAGCTCCCTAACAGCTCTGGACATGGCCAATACTCCATCCAGACTGTCACTGCATGAGAAAAGACAAACTCAGCAGTGGAGATGAACAGCTTGAGATTTGCTAAAAGGCCTGGACTTCTAAACAAAAGGAAAGAGTCCTCCTGACATCAAAGCTGTGAAGTAACAGAAACAGCCTATAAAAACGTGACATGCAGGAAAGAATATCGACAGGTTGATTTTCTAAGGTATAATTTAGCACTAAACTGGAAGGCAGTGGAGTGTATCTAAAGGGACGTTATCTTGAAAGAAGTTAGTAAAACCAGAGGCTAAACACTAGAGCTTGAATTTCCCCCCTTTCTGACTAGAGCTAAGTAGCAAAACTCTCTTCACAGCCAAGAAGAAATGAGAGTCAGAGATTCAAAGAGGACCCACCTGAATCTTAACACAAGAACGTATGGTCTGACAAGCACCTGAAGTCTATAAAAGTCGAGATGCAAAAAAACACAGAAACACAGTTGACTAGAACACAATGGGCAATGATAACAGCAAGAAAGGAGGTGAGGTTTACCAAACTAGGAAAAATTCTTATCTTCTCCAGCTCCAGAAGACACTCTAAATCAGTTGAAACTGAAACTCTGAAGAAGGAGGAAGTAGTAAGTACACCAGAAGGTGATCTAGACTGCATTGCAAGGGGGAACAGGAACACTTTAACAGATGGTGATCAGAATTGTTGGCCACCAGATCATGACAGTTTCTAGCCTCTGAGGCAAAAGGTCCAACAGCAAAGACAGAGATATGGGAGCCTTCAGACAGGGGTAGGACGTCCTTGACCATACCAGAGCTAGCAGAATCAATAATGTTCTGCTCCCACTTTACTGAGGTCAAACAAATTAAAGAAAGAGAATCTCACAGAGGAAACAGCGATAAACCTGACTGTGAAAGCAAAATTATGTCATGGCACGATCCCCTCACCAAGCTAATCACAAGCAAAGCCTGCAGCATTTCCCAATGACCCAGGTAGTGAGCAGGCCTATCACAGGCTCCTCTGTATCCTGGAATACCAAACTGGATCTCTCATTTGTGGTCCAGAACGACAGTGCTCCTTAGGTCAAGCTGCCAGGAATGTGGAGCCAGGCACACAGATTGTGGAAAAATTAACCTTTAGTGCTAATCTCCACACTCCAATTTTCATTGCGGTCATATGAAGCAGAGGGATTTGGTTCCTTCCTGCTTGTGCAGTATATTGGTGTCAACCTGTCCAGCATATCTTCAATATAAGAGTACTTCAATTTCCCTCATTAAATGTGTCCTTAGTATCACAGGATCAAAGTGTAGCAACTCTTAGTCTTCTCCAGTGTAGCTTTGATCTTAGAATTTTTGTGTCTATCCCATACCAGTTTCACCTCTATCATAGTTCCCTTGTTTATTTTTATGCCTGTCACGAAAGATTACGTATGTCGAATTTCATGCTGTCTATCACAGGGCACATTTTCCTGTCAATGCAAAATCAAGACAAAGTGAAAAAAATTGTTTTCTTTGCAGATTCATGTTGCCTCTCTCTGTTTTTACCTAGATACTTACAGTTTGGTTTTGAATACTTATTGCAGTAGTTTTCCAAATATTGATATGAATGATTAGCTCATCGATTAGTTTTTTAAAGCTTTTTTCCACAGGGAACAGTAAGAAATAAACGAATTGCAAATCTCAAAGGTCTGCCTTACTTGTTTCCACTGATTTCACTAACTGATTATAATTTCAATGGTTCTGCCAATTTATTCATTCTTCAGTGAAATGAGCTGCCCCATCTTTCAATATATTCAGGGGACAGGAAATTAAAAGGAGGGAAGGGGCAAAAAAAAGGAGACAAGGAAATCAGGGGCCTGTGCTTAAGTGCAGCTATTTCAGTACAAACTTTCCTTGGATAGCTGAATGTACGTCTATGGACTTCGGTTTTCTGAAAGATCTGGCACTTCAAAATTACTGTACTCCCTTGTGCATCCCTCTGACCTTTACAAGTATGTAATGCTAGATGAAAACCTGATTTTTTTGGCTACTATTTTCACAAATGAAAAAGGAAAAAACTTAATGTTTAAGGTGTTAAATATTTTTACATGAAACCAAGCTGGCATTCGCCAACCTGCCTGTACGTTTGAGAAAGACAAGAATAAATGCCAATGCTATAATTTGTTAAATGCTTCTGACGAGCAGCAACTTCCATCACCACAAATTCTCCCAATTTAAACCACTTTTACATAAATTTAAACTTTTCCTAAAACACCCAAGTAAGATTTTTCCACATAGGCTGAGCAAGGCTTTTAAAAAACTCATGGCAAAAATCTTTCCACTACTGAGGAATTTAGAGATGCAAAAGACGTTAGCTTCTCTATGGCACTTCTGTTCTTTAGTAGAAAACTGATAAAATTCAGTAACTACTAAATTGAATACAACCACTATTATCAATAATCATGGAGTCTACTTTTTCTCACATTAAGGTACATACCACTATTTCCTGAAAATAGTAATATTACTATTTTACTTTTCACTTACCAGACATGAAGCTGGGCTACTAGAAACCATGAATTCAAAGTATCAGGCATTTGGCACCCTGATGGGAAGGGAAAAAAAAAAAAAACACAAAACCAAAACAAAATATTAATATGAACTCAATCACGTTTTGCACCTAACAGAAATTCACTAGGCCAAAATCCAAATACATTTTAACAACTTAATTTCTGGCCCTAACCAGTATATACATATCAGAAGCAAACATAATTTATGTCACACTTGTGCTTGAACTCTAGAACACGCAGCCACAGGATGCTGTAGATTCCAAAAGATTTCATGTGTTTACAACTCACTTAGATGACATTTACAGGGGCAAAAATTCTACAATGGGTAATTAGACAAACGTGTGGCTTCTAGGTCAGGAAGTCCCACAGCAGTAAAGAGTAACTGGGAAGCATCAATGGATGCTTTGCTCTGTTCTTACACTCTTCCTTTACCGTGTGCTGCTGCCTCCTGCCGGGACAGAACATTGTGCTAGCTGGATCTTCGCTCCAGCTCCGCCATTCCGACTCACGACACGGCTGCACAGCTCACGGCACTCTGAGCCCACCTTGCCCCTCGCCATTCTACATCAGGATTAAAACCACCAACTAACCATAGAAACAATTCCTGTTTCCAGGTTTAGATCTTCTCCAATAGCCACTGAGTTTCCCAGACATGGCTTGTCCACATGCATGTTCACACTGCATGATCTGCACGTGCTGTTAGGAAGTGAGGCTGCAGATTTAGGCTAGGTGGCACAGAAACCATATTCCTCATTCCTCAAAGCCAGGACCTATGAGTTACGTGCACATCAAGTCCTTCAGTTCCTGTCATTCTTAAACCTTCCTCTGAGGAAGTCACCTTTACATCTGTTTCCTGGAGAGGTTTCTAAGAAGAGCACCTAATGAGAAGGATCTGATACAGTCACCTTGGCCTACCCAGCACTTGGTCTTGTCTTCTGGACTGTTCAACCCAGCTGTAAGAAGGCCAGAGAATATTCCAAAATGGACTGTCCAGTCAGATGTGCCCAAGGAAGTCAACCTTATCTTTCTGTGTTGATAAATTCCTTTCCGACTCCCATACTTGGCTTTCAAGTGTTACCACAGAGACTCACTTGGATCATGAAGCAATACTTTTCACAGCCTCTTTCTTTCCGTATGCCAACTACGGTCAGGCAACCACCAGAAGAACCAAGCAAATCATCACTATTCCTCCCTCCTCAGAGAGATGACTCCATCAGTGCCTAGGAGGTGCCAAGCTTCAGCATCAGTGCCCATACATCACCTATGCCACATCTAAGACAGTATAAAGACACTAACAGTCTATGTTTAGAGATTAAACACAAGCTTCCCTCACTCTTCTCTCCGTTTGGCTCTCCCATTCCTATTGGAAACAGTTCATGTGCCTAGACATGACTACTCTGACCTAAAGGCATGCCAAGGCGTCTCTAACCAGGGCAAGAGCACACAATGCTTGCATTAATCAAACCATTTCATTAAACGAAGGTTCCACAGGCAAGATTCAGAGTACAACACTTAGCTCAACAGACAGAGGTTTCTGAAGTAGAAGTCACCACGTATCAGTCTCTCACCACAGAAATCACTCTTCAGTGGAAAGCAAAGGTAACACCTCTACTACTGGAAACACGGAACGTTTTTGAAGACCTATTCAGTACCCAGGAGGGAAGAAATTTTTCTCTAACTTTCCAAGTGTTGCACTTCTATTTTTATAGTTCATTTTTTAACTTCTGTATTAGGACTGTCTACATCGTAACTTTAAAGGAGAGATGGCTCCTTTAAAGCAACAAGTCTGCCCTCAGATATCAGCATTTTTAAAATAATGCAATTCTAAAATTTGGTGGTTTGGAGCAACCTATTCTGGGAAACTAACTGGGGAGAAAGATCCACTCTAAAATTAAACAGAAAACTGTTTCCTTCAGAATACAGTTAGATAGAGAAAAATGTCCCATGGTAAAGCTACCTATGAAATTCCTGTGATCATCATCAGCTTGGGAATAAATCTGTTCTGCTCACAGAACACATCACGTTCACCTGTTTGTGTATGGTAAGAGATGTGAATGCTCAGGATCATGAGGACATACCTCTTTCTTCAGTCATATTCTGCACTTAAAATTCATCAAGGGAGGGATGCAGAACTTGAACGTGGACTTTTTTCATGATAGATCATCTTTGCCACTACCACAACTTTAGCAAGGACGCAATGGGATAATATCCCCACATCCTGCAAAGAACCAGGTGCACTACGTCAGTGTTCCCCTGAGCATGACAGACAGCAGCAAGGACCTGCAAGGCACCTGGTGGGCTAAGGGATATAGAAGAATCCAGAGTCTTGTAGGTAAACTCCAGCCCTTTTGAGCTGTTTGGTAGCCCCACAAAGAGCCATGCGAAAGGCTGTTTTGATAGGGCCAGCTCTTTATTACTGCAGTTGCATGACACTGGAGCAATTAACAGTATTAACAGTTCAAGACGAATTCAAGGTAACTCTACACTCCATGTTCCTCAAACAAATTTCAGCTCAGCTCTCAGTATCACCTACCTGATCTTCAAAGCTCTTTTGACCTTTCAAGTATAAGGTTAGACATGAAGCTCTCCTCACAGGTGGTTACCTCCTTCATTTTGTTAGGGCTACTCAAGCTCTGCAAGCTTTGTGCACAGAAAGCCTGGCACTAGTAATCTTGCTATTCCCTCTACTACGTCTCCATTCTCCCTTAAACAAGAAAGCCAAAGTCCTAAAACAGCTCCACTTTCCAGATAAGCAGCACAGTACAGACGTTTGGGATGTAGGCTCCAAAGCAGAGCTCCCCAAGTTTCATGCATGGATGATGACAAAACTAAGAGAAAACAGAATGGTAGGTATAATAAAGTTAACTGCAGTATAATACCAGAGATTCTCAATTAAAACACCTCCTTTTAGATACTACAGTGGCCTCACGACTTGAGTATCCATAGTCCATATTTTGGGGGCTGCTGTTCTAAAGCATAATACGGAGAAAGGCAGTTCACAGGGCTCACGTTGCGTAACGAAGCCTGAGAAATTTCACTAGGTATCAGCAGAAATAACACTGAGATAGCAAGATGGCCTGTAAGACATGAAATGCCATCACTGTCCCAGTCCTCAACACTATAATATCACATAAAGTCATAATAAAGATATACATAATACACATAATGCCTCATGAAGGCTATATAAAGTCTTTACACTTTATGTCACCTCTGTCAGCAGAGAACTACCTGGCAAAATCCACACACCAATCTGAGTACCAAAAGGTCGCACTGCAGTTGTTACTCATGCCACAGCATAACCACATCACAAAAGCATGACCAGAAACACTGAAGAAGGCTCTATGAAGAGCTAGTTCTGACTGCACAGGGTTAACGAGCCCACAAACAGTTTTACACACGCATGGATGTATGGCTTCCAAGGGTAACGACTCTCAGGAATGGCAGAAAAAAAGCTAGTAAGGTCTCCAGAGACCAGAGCTGACTCAGCTGCCCATGGAACCACAGCCTAAAGCTTCTTCATTGGCAAAATCAATTAAAAAGGTTCCTGCCCACCCCACTCGGTCTATGTTTTAGGGGAACTACTTTTTAAACATGGATCACACGCCTGTTCAATTTTAGAGCTAATCCCCCAAACAGCTGCAGCTCTAAGCAGATAGAAGCAGCAGAAACTTCTTATATCTGTTTTTAGGTGAGAGCAATGATTTCTTTGGAACCACCACCATAGACCCCACCACCAAAGGCGTTCTTGTAACACCAACGGGCACAGCACGCACTCTGCCAGTCTCAGCAAAACAATCTATCTTGTTCCTTACGTAACAAGAGTCCCAGGTCAATGCAAACATAGGTTCTCCAGGTGTAAATTCAGAGATGGACTGGCTACAACTTGTACTATAGAGCAAAAATGAGCAACGAGGACATTCTGGAGAAAATGGTGAAACTTGAAGGAAAGGCTGCCTGCTGTTTGTGCTATGTTTAAAGTGAGGGAGAGTTCTGGGAATTTTCTCTTTGAAACAGGACAATATCAAGAACACACTGAAGTCATTTTACTCAGTGTTGAGCCTGAAAATCTGTGCCAGTATCTTTTCACAGGCATGTTTTGGAATTCCTTTAAATTTTAATGTAAGGCAACATTTATACATCTTCATACAATTAATCTGTTAAGCAGAGATAGTGAAACACCAGTTCAAACCAGCAAAGCCTCTATCTGAGAGGCAAACACGACAAACAGAAGAGAACTTATCTGAGAAAGCCTGAGAGTGCACACAGCTGGGGAGAGATGTGTGTACAGGAAAAAGGAGGTTCTAAATTTTTGATCACTAACGATGAATCCTGCCGCTCACAGAGTTCTCTCACTCCTGCAACCGCTGAAACCACATCACAGTTTTGGAAAACCTTCTGAAAACCATTGGAAAATCTTGCAGCAGCGACAGCGTGTACCAAACCGCCCTGCACTAGATGAACACACAAAGATGTCCCTTCAGCTGATCTCTCCAGAGGCAGCAGCAGCCACCTCAACTGTGCTGGTGCATTGTGAAGCCGTAAGGAAGCGTTTGGTAGCTCAGGAAATTCAGGTGACAGGCCAGATCCAGGCAACAGGTTTACTACCAGCTAAACCACACTGACACAGGAAATAATTCACACAAGAATAAAATAAGATTGAAACTCACAGAAGCCCCAAAAATACATCTTCCTTATTCACCAGCCAGATTCGATACTAATAAAATCAGCAACTGATTTTTTAGCTAATAGTTAAAAAAACTGTGTGCAACATGGAAAAGCCATCCCAATTCAAGCCAATATTGTTTCTATACATTTGAAGGAGGGACTGTGTCTCTGTTCTAGTCATATGCTCTGCCCAGTCAAGAGATGTGTCCTGGTTTAATGCTGTCATGGTCAGTGAAACATAGAAAGTCTCTAAGTTCCAGCCAAACCTGTCCAGCCATGAGGAAGAGAGACAAGTAGAACCCTGTGATCTAACTGACCCTGTATCATTAAAAAAGTTGTGTGTCAGTGGACGGGGATGGTTCTCGTACATGCACCCCAGTTATACTGGACCTTATCACAACTGGTCATGGGACAGGGTAGGACACAGAGACCATCTGACCAAAGTAAAAAGGGAAGAAATACCTGGCTACTCAGTTTATGCCACCCCTGGTAATAAAAAAGGCAATATTCTTCAAAGTCCAGGATATTCTGGGTTCTACCTATCCCACCCTTGTTCTTGTTCTCCATTGCAGTGGACAACATGGAACAATCCCAGACTCTGCCCTTGAACCCTTGCCACTTCAGAGCCTCAGGGAATGCTGTAGTACAGCCAGCTTCTAGTTGACCAGGCACTATGAGGGTCTGACAAGTCTTTTTGCTGTCATATAGTTATTGGTATAAATACATCTATTGAATTTTCATCAGAAGTTCTCCCACCAGAGCAGCAGTCCAAATACCATCAAGTCCATTACTTACTGTTAAAAAATTCCTCGTAGTCAGTTTTCTCCACGCAGCATGTGTACATGCGCAAAGCTGCTACCTTAACTTTCTGAAGAAAAAGAAAAGACAATACTTGAAGTATTCATGAGAGTTAGTGAACACTACTGGTTTTGCTAAATATATACACTATCATTTTCTGAAAAGAATTCTTTTGAGAACCACAATTGCTTCAGACTTTCAGGAGCACATTAGACTATTATACCTCCCAGGAATGACGTAAGTATAATCAAACTTGCCTTGAGGCAAAAAAATACAATGACTAAATGGCTTTTTGAATACCAAATTCTTCCAAATCTAGTTTAATATCATACTGTCATTACAGAAAAATAAATCAAATGGCTTTCCTTACAGAGACTCCAAAGATCCAATTCACAATTCCTGGTTTCCTCCAGTAACTTTAATTGATGTATACCACGCAAAATGTTTCATATAATTTAAGTTTTAAATATTAAAGAAGTAACATCTCAGACATGTCCTAAAAATATCCTTTTTCCTACAACAATGAAAATTGACCTTCTAAGCTTCACACGTGAGAACGGAATCCCAAATGATGAGTGACATGAGGTATACTCAGGTGCTCTGGCACTTCTAATTTTGTTCTTGGCCTGCCATTGCACCAGAAACACCTTCTGTGAATCATTTATAACAAAGATACACGTGCTGAAGCTTCAAAGAGTACAATAACCAATAGCAAAGATCTTCAAGAGAAGAGCTGTCAGTCATTCCTGTTCATTAACATCAAGGGGAGAAAAAGAAAAGAATTTGAAAACTCCAGAGGCCACTCCTGCCCCAAGCGGCACTGGGTTTGAGTTGTTTTGGTTTGTTCTGTTCTTTTTTGTTTTTTTTTAATTTTAGTGACATATATTAGGGATCATCTCAGTGCTCACTATATTACAGAGATGCCTGTCAAACAGCACTTCAAATTACCAAAGTAATTATTTGTGTCTCCTCCAACCAAAAGAAAAATAAGGAGGTTGCAACTGATCTCCCGCTGTGGAAACACAGGAGCCACTATTTTTCTGATTCAATAACCTCAGGCTTCTGTCAAAAATCAAGTCTACATCTAAACTTCTTGCAGTAAAATAATTTACTCTGCTTAGTGGAGTTCTAAAGGTTTCCTTTTTAATGGAAACACTGCCTGGCCTGGGAGTAGAGATCTCCATGGTGAAAGCCACTGCCCCAGATCAGACATTAAAAACATATTGTAAAGAACAGTCCCTGCAATCCAGCCCTTAAATAAGGCAGGTAACACAGGAGAAACTGGTGAAATTTAATCATGGACGTTTTAGGGTGTAGAAGAGGCGTGGGGGAAGGGAGAGAAAAATGGAAAAAAGCAGAGAAATACTAAGAAACTTCCCTAAGTTCTCATAGAGAGCACTGGCAAGGCCAAAAATGAACTCAGGTTTCTTGGGCCCTAACCACAAAATAACTCTCTCCAAACCCAAGTTCTCTAGCCAAAAGCAGGCAGTAAAGAGCAGCAATTAAGGAGAAGTCTGAATCGACACTTGCAGCTAACAAGAATCTTTATTACAACAATATGCACATGGGAGAGAAACTACTCTCTCACGACGTTTAGCATCACCTGATTAAAAGCAGCTCGTTTTAACCAAAATACCTAAGCCCTTCAAGTGCCAGTTATCTTTTCTTTGTATTTTCTTTCTGAAGAGCGAGATGTAACTGGCAACAATTTCAGATCAGTCTCGGAGGAGGTCCGCTCCACCTTGCAGATACTCAAAGCACCTTACAGGTTTTGATTCCAGCACAGCTGGGTTCAGCCCAACTTCAAGCTGCCTTTTCCTCGCACTTCTTTATACTGTGTCCTAGTTTAGAGCAAAGAAATGGTGATTTTTATCTCTGTTTCCTTCTGCATAAGGAACTGAAGGGGTCTCTTACAGAACTGTCCTCAATTAGTCAATGTAACAACTGCTTTATGAAAGAACTATTCACAAAACACAGAAGAGGAGGATCCATTTGTGACTTGGTCCTAGTCAGCTACTACTTGAACAGCAATCAAAATATCTCACTACTGTCC